TTCTTCAATCTTTCACCCAAGTTGTTATGGTAACCACAATATGTGGGATATGTGTTTCCTAAATTTAACTGTTATTTCAAGTAAATAAAATTATATCATCTTATTAACTACAAATAAAATCATTACTACAACCCTATATTTATCCTTTTTAAACGCTAGTGGATCACAGGATTATGTTTAACTAGGCTTTTACACATGCTTTATCTCAGAATTCACATTAAAAAAATAGCAGGAATATACTGTTTTCTACTTTGGGGACATTTTCTTGATTTAAAAACAAAACAAAAAAGGGAATTAGTCTGGCCCAGCTGGCATGGCTCAGTGGTTGAGTGTTGACCTATGAACCAGGAGGTCAGTGTTTGATTTCCAGTCAGGGCACATGCCCGGGTTGTGGGCTCGATCCCCTGTAGGGGGTATGCAGGAGGCAGCCGATCAATGATTCTCTCTCATCACTGATGTTTCTATCTCTTTCTCCCTCTCCCTTCCTCTCTGAAATCAATAAAAATATTTTTTTTAAAAACAGAACTAGTCTGTTTCTAAATATTATTCTATACTAAAATACTCCAAAATTATGATTATGTATTTTGTAGGAACTATAGACGCATCCTTTGTAGGTCAGATCCTGGTACTCCTTCAGTCCTCTGCTGAAACCCGCCCCTGGGGTCCTATCTCTGAACAAAAGCGAAGTTCTCACAGGGGCTTCAAGGCCTGCACCCTCACTTTCCCTTGCTCACTCCATCCCAACCACACCAGGCTCACTCCTGCCTCAGAGCACTGTACTGGCTATTTCCTAACCTGGAAGGTTCTTACCCGACCCCCACGCCCCTCAAGTCCCAGGCAAAGACTCTCACTTATTTCAAGCCTTTGTTCAAGTAACATCTTCTCAGTGAAACTTTCTCTGATCAACTCCCTTTCAAACAGCTTTTCCAGCCCTTCTGCCATCTCTGCTCACACTTTACATCCTTGTTATGGACTGAAGTATTTCACCCCCCCTCACCCCAGATTCATATGTTAAGACCCTAACCCCCAATGTATTTGGAGGTGGAGCCTTTGGGGGATGATCAGGGTTAGAGGAGGTGATAATAGGATTGCTGCCCTTATAAGAAGAGGAAGAGACACGCGTGTTCACTCTCTCCACCATGTAAGGACACAGTGGGAAGCCAGCCATCTGCAGCCAGAAGAGACCTCGCCAGAAATCAAATGGCTGGAACCTTAATATTGGATTGGATATCTAGCCTTCAGAACTCTGAAGAAATGAATTCCTGTTGCTTAACCCAAGCTGACTAATACACTGTCCTTCCTCCTTTGCTTTGCTCCCTAATACTTATTAATGACTAATATAGAAATAAGATATTGGTGATTTATTCTATATATTACTAATTTATTCTATTTATTGTCTGTCTCTCTTTACTGCAAAATAAGCTTCATAAGGGCAAGGGTTTTTTTTCTGTCTATTTTGTTCACAGCACCTACAACACCTACAATCTGGCACATAAATGATTACTAATAAATATTTGTTAAGTGAATAAAGTATAGTTTTAAAACATCTTAAATGTTGATATGCCTAGTAAAAAAATAATACATTTCTGTGATGATACTTATTCAAGGAATCCAATAAGAAATAAAAATATACAATCTTCACTAAGTTACATTTTAAAGAAATCAAAATTACCAAGATTTGTGTTCTCATGGAACCAAAGAATTTTACTTTCCTGATTTTCTTTTCTTTCCGGTCTTGTGGTGTTTCTTTACATTATCTTCTTTCTTTCTTTTTTTTAATTTAAATTCTTTATTGTTTAAAGTACCACATATGACTTCTTTTCCTGATTGTCTTGATCTTTTCTCCTCCTATGAATCGGGATATACGAGAAGCTCTGTCTTCCTCCTCCCAATTAAATGTGTACACCACCTAACACTGTTAACGCTACCCAGGATCTTTTTCTCTGCCTACTCCACTCTCACCACTTCAACTACCACCTTCATGGAGTTACTCTCAAGTCCTCCCTCATCTCTGGCCTAGATGTCTGTGCTCTGCTGTGCATTTCCAACTGCCTTTGAGAAGTACGTCACTTCAGGCATAATATCAGAATTGTCAAAGAACAGGAGCATTAGGTAAAATATATTGTATTAACATAAGTAGAAAAAAATCTTAAATAAAATCAAACAAAAAACATAGCCTTTAGTAGTATATAGACTCACATAATTCTACATACTGCCTGAGGATTTGCTTTCTTTCATTAGAGAAATTAGAAACGATAGTAGGGAATTCCAATCTCTGAATTATGACTATGTATTCTAATTATCAACAGACTCTTACACTGACTATAAGTTTCACTTCAACTACTGAATTACTCCCAATATTGTAGTAGAATTTTATTACTTTCAAATTGATTTTAATCACTTGGGGAGGATATATACGGTTTTCAACTTAAGTTTCTAAACTAGGATAGTTTATTTTTAGAAAAATAATACCTCCCAATGCTTATCTTCATCATTGGTGCCCAAATAACATATTTATTTCTCCATTTTCCTTCATACTCACTAATCAATTAATTATTTTAAAACTTCTCTAAAGCACATTTTACTTCTCCAAAGATCCTTAGTTATCTTCGATGATGAAATGACAACTCAGAATTTAGATGAAAGTTGGCTAAAATTCATTATCCAATTTAAGTAAACCACACATTTTTAGAATTTCACTGAACAAAATAAAAAGAAAGGGCATTCCAACAGGAAACCATGTGGTTATTTTGGCTTTCACGAGAGGCTACGCCTCCTCAAGTGATGCAAGTTCCCTGGGTCTTGGCAGCACTTACTAAGGCTTAGAGTCAGTGATCTTCAGGACAAATTAGTTACGGATGAAACCCATATTCTTCCAGTCCTGTGCTGTGCTTTTAAGATGAATGATAATTACAATGCATCAAGTAAATGTCACTGCTGTTTTTTCTCTCAAATATTTTTTCTTCAAATTAAGGGTATAAATGAAATATATTTAGGATATTTCTTAAGAATCCATGTCTGGCTGGCCCCAGTGCCCATGAAAGGCCACAAGTATGCCCAAACTAGCAACAAATCCTCATCATTCCTTTCAAAATATATCCAAAATCTGAGCACTTCTTTTCCTCTCTTCTGCCTCTATACTATCTTAACAGGATTATTGCAAGAGCCTTGTAAAGAGTCTCCTGGGTTCCACCCTTGCCCCACTACAGTCCCCATGACCACCACAGAACACATGAGTCAGATCAGGTGATCAAGTCATTCCTCTACTCCAGTGGTTCTCAACCTTGGCTGCACATTAGAATCACCTGGGAATCTCTTTAAAATCCTGATTTCTGGGCCTCATCCTCCAGAAATTCTGTTTCTTTGTTATGGGGTGGGGCCACAACATTAGTAACAAAGAAACCGAATTTCCGGAGGATGAGGCCCAGAAATCAGGATTTAAAAAAGATTCCCAGGTGATTCTAATGTGCAGCTAAGGTTGAAAACCACTGCTCTACTCAAAACCCTCTACTAGTTTCCCATATCACTTGGAATCAAAGTTAAGTCTTTATAATGGTTTAGAAAAGACTCTTCATGATCTGATTCCCCTATACCTCAACCATCCCCCCCCCCCCCCCCCTTGACTCACTCAGCTCCTTGCCATTCCTTGAACACACCACACATACTCTCCCTCCAGGTCCTGTGCACTTGCTGCCTCCTCACCCTGGAAGACTCTCTCTCCAGATAGCCACAGACTTGGCCCCCTGCTTCTTTCCAGCTTCTGTTAGGTAAGGCTTTTTCTGACAAAGGAACGTAGACCAGCACGCGTTCTCTGCTGCCCAGCCCTCTTTACTACCTTTAATCTGATTTATTTTTCCCCAATGTGTTTATCACTGCGTGACATACTGCATGTATGTATGTATATGTTTGTTTATTACTTGCATTGACATGAATGTTAGCTCCAAGAAAGCAGAAACTGTATTGTTCCCAGCAACAGAATACAGAATGGCAAACTATCAGTGGATTTCCATATAAATCACATGAATCAATAAATGAATCTCCCGGTAGTTTATTATCCCAAAATAGATGCAGGCTATTCCTTCAAATTGCATACCACTATATTTCTACTTTTCTTATAATAAATCCTATCCCTTATTGTATTAAGAATCATTTTGTACTTATGTTAGCATCCTGCAAATATAAAAAACCATGTCTTAATTCTCTTTGTATCCCCTGTATCTACCAGTATTTTTTTCTTATAACAGGTGCTCACTATCTGTCAAGTTAAATTTGTAGTCATCCTGGCAAAGCAAGTGAGACAGAAAGAGTGTGCAGCCTGGTTTGGCGATATCTGACATCCATCTTGCACTGAAGTGGATACCACAGAAAACATTTTAAATTATGTTAACAAATAAAAACATGTTTAGATGGTAGTAAAAACTAATTGGGAAAAAGCTGCTTTAGCTTTATTCATTAATGAAGTCTACAGAAAAAAAGTCATGCACACTTTACTCTCTCTTTTTAAAGAAATAAACAACCTGAAAAAAAAACTAATATCAAGGGATTTTTTTTTTCTAAGAAATATTCCAGCATCATTGGAATTAATACTCACTTGACCCAAAAATTTTACACAAGTCATTAACTGGAGTTTGTTATTGTTGTTGTTTAACAATAAGCTTAAATTACTGAGAAAAAATTAAATTATGACCAATATGTTGAAAAAACATACCATGAGTTTTAGACTTTCACCAAATCAGGTAAAATTAAAAGGAATGATACTAAAAAGCTTAAACCTTCACCTTCAAGAAAAGTCAAGTCTACACAGCAATTTATCCCCCATGACTTGCGAACAAGCAGGATTTTACTCTTCAGTCAAATCCTTTGAAAACTGATAATCCATAATTATAGTGATCAAAATAGTTGACAAACTAGAACTCCTTCTCTAAGCATGAGAAGTAACAGCATTAAAAAATAAAGGATACAGTAAAAATAGTGTCCTGCCTTCAATAGTGTTAGCTCACCTCGGGTATGAGTCTATCCAACTGCTCAACTCGGTTTCCATGAGAAGGGTGTGTGGATAACCATTCTGGCACGCTGGGGTGACCAAAGAGGGTATCTGCAAGTTCCAGCTGCTGCCAAAACACTGAACTGGATCTGACGTCCACACAAGCCTAGAACCAAAATTAATAAAAGCACACATGAGTATAACTATGAGGACATCTTTAAAAGTTTACGTTTGTGTCATTACATGTTTTAAAAATATTTCCTATCGTTTTAATAAAAGGGGAATATACTCATTGCTTTTAAAAAGAACACTCAAACAATATGGTTTTATAGAACTCAAAAAAAAAAAAAATATGTCCACCCTTTCTCCTTGCCCTACCCCCACACAATATTTACAATAATACCACTCCCCAAAAAAACCACGCTTTTCACTATGATAGATATTAAGAACACATATTAGGGATTTGAAGGTGGTGGCGTAGGTAAATGCCTGAACTTGCCGCCTCCCACCACAACCACATCAAAATTACAACTAAAATACAGAACAACCATCATCCAGAACTGCCAGAAAGCTGGCTGAATGGAAGTCCAACAACTAAAGAAGTAAAGAAGAAAGCATACTGAAATGAGTAGGAGGTGCAGAAGCGCAGAACAGGCTGGTTGGGCACCCACATGTGCTGCTTTTTTAATCGGGAGGGAGATCATCTCTATGGAGGACACCGGAGAAACAAGGGGTCCCAGCCTTACACCAGACACCCAGCCTAGGGTCCCAGTGCTTGGAATAGAAGTCCCTAGGGGCAGTAAGAACTACAGGTTGTAAAAACCAGTGCGGACTGGGGCTTAGTGACACAGAGGCTGCTGGAAACCCAGCTGTCCCTCTTAAAAGGCTAGCACTATGAACTGAACTTACAAGGTCCTGCTTCCTCTGAGCTCCAGCATCAGGGCTTGGCTTTGGGGGACACAGACACATATGAGGAGGAACTGGATTATCTGGCATCAGGGCAGAAACTTGGGGCAGCTTTCTTCCAGACAAAGGTGCTTGCAGGGATCACTGTTCCTATTCTGGGACATCCCCAGTCACAGGGCTGACTGGCAGCCATTTCTGTTTGCTCTGCCCTGGTGACTCCCTAAGACCCCACCTCATCCAATTTACAACCCCACCTAAGCTGTGTGCAGCTGCTTTTGCATATGAATGGCCTGTCCTTGCTCAGGCTAAACTCTGAAATAAGCTGCAGCTGGGTCAGGGAGCCCCAAACCTATCAATGAAAGGCCCAAGACCCACACCAGGACCAGCCTGCCTTGCTTCATAGCTGGGCCTCATCTGGGCACTTCCAAACCCAATACAAAGAGGAGGAATCTGAAGATCTCTCTGTAGCTCCTGCTGGGTGGCCTCAGGTAGTTGCTGACTTTGTACCTCCTGGGAGGCCCAAGAGCCAATGTACCCAGTGGTCAGTGTCAGACCATACCAGACAATAACTCTACACATCCATAAGGGACACACTCAAGGGGCAGACTCAGTGAGCACCAAAGCCCCACTGAAGCAAGTCCTGCTCCATAGGGGTGTCTCCTGCACAGCAGCTTTCCCACTGTAGTCACAGCTGGTCCTCACAGCCAACTGGCCTGGAGATCAATTCCTCCCAGTGACACCAACAGCAATCAAGTCTCAACTACAACAAGATTGTGCTCACAGCCCATAAAGGGGTGCACTTAGAGCTTCCAGCTCAGGTTACTGGGGAGGCTGAGCCACTAGGCCCTATAGAACACCTACTACACAAGGCCACTCTACCAACTCAAGGAGCTATAGCAGCTCTACTCAAAACATAGAAAAAAAACACAGGGAAGCAGTCAAAATGCAGAGACAAGAAACATGTCAGAAATGAAAGAAATGGAAGAAAGCAAACTACTGAATATAGAGTTTAAAACTATGATTATAAGGTTACTCAAGAATCTTCTAGAAACCTCCAAAAAAATGGAAAAGGACCAGTCAGAAATTAAGCATACACTGATCAAAAATATGAACAAACTGGCAACAAATACATACTTATCAACAATTGAATCTAAAAATCAAAATAAATGAATAAGAAATCTTATGAACAAAATAAACTGGTGAATAAAATAGAATCAGAGGCATGGAAATGGAACAGACTGATGATTCTCAGAGGGAAGGGAAGAGACTAAACAAAGATATTATATGCATATACGCATGACCTCTGGACACAGACAATAGGGTGGTGAAGGCCTGGGGCAGGGCAGGAACCGGGTGGAGGGGGGCAATAGGAGGAAAAAAGAGGGACATCTATAATAATCTCAACAATAAAGATTTTAAAAAAATAAAAATAAAAAAGAAGTATATCAATAAAGTGGTCCAGAAAAAAAAAAGAACATGTATTAAGAGTAAAATTCTTCCAAATTAAGTTTTCATAAAAATTAAGTTTTAAAATTTAACTGTTAATAAACTGTACTAAAAAATTTATTCTTAATCTATACCTCTAGAATAAATATTGACCTATAGTTTTCTTTTCTTGTAGTGTCTTTGTCATTGGTATTAGGGTTATGCTGGCCTCACAGAATGAGTTAGGGAGTATCCTCCCCTCCCCTCCAGTCTTTTAGAAAAGTTTGAGAAGAACTGGTATTACTTCTTCAAATTCTTGGTAGAATCCACAAATGATGTTGTCAGATCCAGGGCTTTTCTTCGTTGAAAGATTTTTGATTACCGATTCAATCTCCATACTTGTTTCAGGTCTATTCAGTTTTCTTTGTGATTTATTGATTTTATTGGGTGACACTGGTCAATAAAATTATATTGGTCAATACATCATTTATTTTTATTGTGTGTTCACCACCCAGAGTCTTCCCCTTCCATAGCCATTTATCCCCCCTTTACTCTCTTCTACCTCCACCACGACCCTTTCCCTTTGGTAATCACCATACTGTTGTTTGTCTGAGTTTGGTTTTTTGTGTATGGGGTTTTTTTGTTTTTTGTTTTGTTTTGTTTTGTTTTTCTTAATCCCTTCACCTATCTCACTCAGCCCCCCAACCCCTCCCCTCTGACAGACAGCTTTCAGTCTCTTCTCTGTATCTATGAGTCTGTTTCTATTTTGTTTGTCTCGATCATTAGATTCCACATATAAGTGAAATCATATGGTATTTGTCTTTCTCTGACTGGCTTATTTCACTTAGCATAATATTCTTCCAGTCCATCCATGCTATCACAAAGGGTAAGGTTCCTTCTTTTTTATGGCCGAGTAGTATTCCATTGTGTAAATGTACCACAACTTTTTTATCCACTCACCTACTGATGGGCACTCGGCCGGCTTCCAAATTTTGGCTATTAATACTAGCACTGCAATAAACATAGAGGTGCATATATTCTTTTGAATCAGTGTTTCAGGTTTCTTTCACTATATTCCCAAAAGTGGAATTGCTAGATCATAGGGCAATTCCATTTTAGTTTTTTGAGGAGACTCCATACTGTTTTTCCACAGTGGCTGCACTGGTAAGTTATTTCTTGAAATTTGTCCATCTCATCAAGGTTCCAAGTTGGGGGGCATCAACTGTTCATCATATTGTATTATACACTTCCTTATTTCTACAGAATCAGTAGTGTTATCTCCACTTTCATTTCTGATTTTAGTAATCTGAGTCTTCTTTATTTTTTCCTAGTCCAACTAAACATTTGTCAATTTTGCTGGACTTTCTAAAAACAAACTCTTTTTATTCACGATGTAATTTATCTCTGATCTAATCTTTATTATTTCCTTCCTTCTAGCAGCTTGGGGTTTACTTTGTTCTTCTTTTTATAGTTTTCTAAGTTGTAAAGTTAGGTTGCTTGTTTGAGATCTTTCACATTTTGAAAGCATTAATAGCTACAAATTTACCCTGAGCAATGCTTCCACTGTATCCCATAACTTTTGGTAGATTCTGGTCTTGTTTTCATTTATCTCTAGTATTTATTAATTTCACTTGTGATTTCTTTTTTTATATATATAGTTTACTGATTTTTTACAGAGAGGAAGGGAGAGGGATAGAGAGTTAGAAACATCGATGAGAGAGAAACATCGATCAGCTGCCTCCTGCACACCCACTACTGGGGATGTGCCTGCAACCAAGGTACATGCCCTTGACTGGAATCGAACCCGGGACCCTTCAGTCCGCAGGTCGATGCTCTATCCACTGAGCCAAACCGGTCAGGGCCACTTGTGATTTCTTATTTAATCCATTGGCAGTGCATAAAGAAAGAAGGATGAAACACTTTCTAGACAACACTTCCTCCTTAAAACAGAACTGATAATGGCCACAAACATACAAAAATATGTGAACTACATTGGTCCTGGATTACTTTTTGAGGCAGTATACTGGGGCAATGTGAAGAGCACAGGTTTTAAAACCAGAAGTTCAAAATATCAGTTATATATTTTGTTTAATTAATAATCACTTATATGTATCGGCTATTGTTCTATGTATATAACAAATATTAACTCGTTGTATTAATTCATTTCATGTGCCCTAAAAGAGGAGAAATGAAAAGACTTCCATTATTTTGTAATTCACTTCCTTTAGTTTAAAGTGTTTTGCATCTTTTGATTGCCAGCATGTCAGTTCATCATTATAATAAATTTATAATACATTTTCATGTATATATTTTTCTCTATCCTAAAGCTTTTATCATAACACTCAACACTTAGAGCTGAAATCATAGCAACTAAAAAGTTAAATACACAGAAGCCTGCCTCATTTTTCTAGGTAATACAGTTAGGTTCAAAACAAGGTGAAATGAATAATGCATGCATTATGAAAGTTTACCTTATAACAAGCCTAGTAAATGAGATGTGCACATTTACAGTTGTTTCCTTCTTAAATGAATCACTAAACAAATAACCTAAGCCAGTGGTTGGCAAACTGCGGCTCGCGAGCCACACGTGGCTCTTTGGCCCCTTCAGTGTGGCTCTTCCACAAAATACCCGCTCTTCCACAAAATACCGACTTCTGCGCATGGGCCACAAAGTTTCAATCACACTGTACGTGTGCGCCCACACATGGTATTTTGTGGAAGAGCCACACTGAAGGCGCCAAAGAGCCACATGTGGTTCATGAGCCGTGGTTTGCCGACCACGGATAAGCTATTAACCCAAATAGGACACAAAGCTAGTCAGTTTGCTATGACAAA